AAGAGTGTCCAGAAGCGTGGCCTGAGCTGGACTGGTCCAGAAAGAGGGAGCCACACGTGGAAAGGCGCAGAGCTGAAACAGAGCGCTCTGGAAATGTCAGGTAGCTGGGCTTCCCGGTGCAGGAAATTTTAAACAAGTACACTATCTACGAATGCATGAAAATTAAACAACATAATTAAACATAGTTTTTTATGTTGTTCTTCTTGTTGCTTTTCCAGTACCGGGCCCAGGGCCTTCACACTGAGCTACATCCACAGTTCTTTTTTTATTACTTTATTCTGAGAAGGAGTCTTGCTAAGTTTTTCAGACTGAGCTCAAACTTGAAATCTTCATGCTTCAGCCTTCCAGAGTTCTGGGATTACAGCCATGTGTTACCATGCCCACCTTTAACAACCCATTTTCAAACAACTGGTAAGTCAAAGAGGAAACCACAAGGGAAACCAGAAAATATTTTGAAACAAATGAAAATGAAAGCACAACATACTAACCCTGGGGTTCATAGAAGTAATGCTAAGTATATAGTTTTGAAAGATTTCAGATCAACAATCTAACCTTATACCTCAAGGAACCAGAAAATAACTATGCCTAAAGCTAGCAAAAGAAAGGAAATAATAATGATCACAGAAGAGATAAATGAAATAAAGTATAGAAAAACTATAAAAAACCGGTTTTTAAAAAGATCAACAAAATTGAGCCAGGCATGGTGGCGCACACCTGTAATCCCAGCACTCGGCAGGCTGAGGCAGGAGGATCCCTGTGAGTTCGAGACCAGCCTGGGCTACATAGTGAGCTCCAGGTCAGTCTCAACTACATAGTGAGACCCTGCCTCAAAAAAACCAACAAAACAAAACAAAAAGATCAACAAAATTGATAAGTCATTAGTTATACTAAGTATAAATAAAAGACTAAAATAAATGAAAGGGGACATTATAACCCAAGTCACAGAAATAAAAAGAATCATAAGAGAATACTATGAATAGTTGTCTATCAATGAATTGAGAAAACTGTAAGACATGGATAAATTCCTAAAAATACACAGCCTAATCCTGGTCTCGACTAGATCATAAAAAACAGAAAATCTGAACACAAGCATAATTAGTAAGGGGCTAGAACCAGCAATCAAAAACTTCCTAACAAAGAAAAGCCCAGGGATAGATGGCTTCAGTGGAGAATTCCACCAAACATTTAAAGAAGTTAATACTAATCCTTCTCAAAGTCTATCAGAAATATGAAGGGGAGGGCATATTTCCAGACTCATTCTGAGGCCAGCATGAACTTAATATTAAATCAGACAAAGAAAACACAAGTCAAGAAACCTACACTCCATCTGGGCATGGTGGCGCACACCTGTAATCCCAGCACTTGGGAGGCTGAGGCAGGAGGATCGCGGTGAGTTCGAAACCAGCCTAGGCTACATAGTGAGCGCCAGGTCAGTCTCAACTACACAGCGAGACCCTGTCTCAACGCCCCCACAAAAGAAACCTACACTCCAATATCCCTGATAAATATTGATGCAGAAATCTTCAACAAATACTAGCAAACAAACTAGACAGCACATTAAAAGGATTGTTAAGACCAAGTGAGATTTATTCTTATAAAGCAAGAATGGTTCAACATACAAAAATCAATGTAATATTAACAAAAAGGTTAAACAAGTACAATGCGGAAAATCTTCAGAGCAGCCAGGACCAAAAAAGAAAAAAAAGGTGAGAAAAACAGCTCACTGAACTCTTCTCCCTATACAATACAGTACCTCCCAAGTTTCTTCAATTAGAGAAGCTACAATTAGAGTACTTATTCTTATCTACCTTATATGGCAGACCTCAATTTAAGCCTCTTGAAGCCATGGGGAAATGCTGAAGGTTGTTAAGCAGAGAATAACATGATCCAATTTGTGTTTTATAAAGGTAACAGGGCCAGGCATGGTGGGGCACACCTGTAATCCCAGCACTCGGGAGTCCGAGGCAGGAGGATCACTGTGAGTTCGAGACCAACCTGGGCTACATAGTGAGTTCTAGGTCAGTCTCAACTACATAGTGAGACCCTGTCTCAAAAAACCAAAATAAATAAATAAATAAATAAATAAAAAATAAAGGTGACAGGTAACAATGTGAAGAACTGAAGAGACTAGAACCAGAGGAGCAAGTTGGGAAGCTATTGTACTTTTCTTTCTTTCTCTTTTTCTTTCCTTTTTTTTTTTTTTTTTTTTTTTTTTTTTTTTTTTTTTTCTTTTTTTTTTTTTTTTGGTACCAGGGATTGAACTTGGGACCTTGCGCTTGCTAGGCAGGCAGTGGAACCACTGCTACTGTAGCTTTCTAAATTAAGAGATAAAAGGGGCCTACAACAAAGCCAAACGATATAGAAAAGGGATCATTACTTCTGAGATTATCTCATTAGGATTTAGTGCCTTACTGGACATGAGTATGATTTTGAAATAATAACTAGCCTGGATAGCTGGGAAATGGCAATGACACTTAACAGACAAAACACAGGGTAAAAATTATTTTTTAGAGTACAGATATGTACTATGCTAATGTGACAGTGTTCTTGCCAATAAATATCACAAGTATTCCAATGAGTAGGTTCAGAAAAATTAGTAACAGGAAATACATTTAGCAATGGCTAGCCAAAGATACCACATAAGCATTCAATTGTTTGCCAAACTAATAGTATCACAAGATGCCAGGCTCCCAAACCTACAAGAAGACCTCCATAATTCACTGTGTAAACTGAGGCTTGGTCACTATTCACGGTTACAAAGCTGCAAGAAATGCTTGGACAGAGTGGCACATTTTGCCAGGAGTCAGATCTCAAACACCAAAACACAGCAAGTCAGTGAAGGAAGCTCAAAATGCTTCTGAGTTGCAAAATCTTATCATAAAATCCAATTATTTCTCTTTATAGGCAAGGCAAACCCACTCTTAAACCCTCACCAAAACAATTACATGAAACAAGGCACCCTACTAAACACATCATCAAGATAAGCATTGAAAAACAGCAAGAGGAACTGTGATTAAGGAAGCCGTATCTGCATCTGTTTGGCAGAGGTATTTAGGTACACTATGGGATAGGAAGTAAAGCTCAAAACAGTAACCATGAATTTAATGTTTAGTATAAACTAGTTCCCATGGTAATGACTACTATAACTTTAATCAGTATGAATTTAACATTTGTTAAGTTTAGGGGCTTAACTGAATGTGGGCAAGCACCATTCATCTAAAAGATTAAAGATATAAACATTTTTCACAGCAACAAATGAAGTTTGAACTATTTACCTTTGCCAGGTTTATACTTGAGATTAAAAGGCTGATTTTGCCAGATATAGGGAGCCAGCATAGGTGCAAACTGGGTCATTATTCTCTCAATATACTTCTCAAGAATTTCCCTGTGTTTTCCTGGGTCCTTTGATTCATCTGGTATCAGGAACAGTTGGTACTTCACAGTGTCTTCCACTGTAGCGAGCATCCTATTTTCCTCCATTTTCTTTGAAAACTACAAGTGAAGTTTCGATAATATCAACCATGAAGAACAATGCAGAAATAATATCCCATGCCCTAAGCTCTTCTAGGTGATTCCATTAACGATATTTTCCAAAACTGTTATTCACATACTATCATCATAATGGTTTTTGCCTCGATCATGTATCAACATATAATATTTAATATTTCTCATTTAATAACATTTCATACTTACAACTCTGTTCTTTATACTCTCTGTTGAAAGGAAACCTTGATATACAGTTAATGGAAATCCAGTGTCACATTTCCAAATAAGAGTAAAATTTTAAATGTGGCCGGATATGATGTGCACACGCGTAGTCCCAGCTACTAGGGAGGCTGAGGTAGAAGCAACACTTGAAACCAGGAGTTCAGGGCCAGCCTGAGCAACAAAGGAAGACCCCCGTCTCTTAAATAAATAAATATGTAACAGCGTGAGCAACACGACACCAACATCCACTGTTTACTACCAAACATCCCAGTTCTGCCACTAATTAGTTGCATCATTCTGGGCAATTTCTCTTTCTGGCGATTTCTCTTTAACTGTGGAATGGAGTGTTACTCTACCATCTCTAAAATCCCTCCTTCCTTTAAAATTGTTATTGCGCTACAGAACTTAAACTTCTCCCTTTACGAACATTAAATTCAAAACTACAAAATATCCATGTCTCATTATCTCACCTCAAAATAATCTGCCCACAGTTCTTGATCTTACAATTGTCCTAAATTTGTCCCTTTTTCAAGTTTCAGGGGATATACCTCTGGTAAACTAAGAGCCGGTAGATAACTCCTTATTTTCTAAGGGTTTTCTGAGAAACAAGTACTAGCCTACGACCGCTGCCAGGTGAAGCTTGGTACAGGCTGGCAGCGCATTGAATGGACACCCTAACGCCGTGATTCGGATGATCAATCTTAGTACTTGGCTTTCTAATGGGCTAATAAGGAGCCCGCGTCTTCCATCCAGACACATCTCACCTAAATCAGCTTGCCGCTTAAAACAGATGGACAAACAATATCCTACTCACACACCTTATGTGGCCAAGCACACCTTACTACGCGGAATTTACAGCGTCAGAACTGGACTTGACTCACTCAGGTTAACTCCTCACCGTACAAATGAGAACAATGAACGCTCAGCAAGACCGAGCAGCGGTGGGCCCGGCGGAGTCTGGTGCTATTTGCCCAAACGAGGCTCCCTCCTCCCATCCGACAAAATGAAGCCAGTTCCTCTTACAGTTTTAGGTCCTCTCCTGCGCGTCTCTGCCGGGGCACCTTTCCTCGGTCGCCTGTTTCACTGTTACTCGGGAATTACTGTCAGCCGCCAAAATCCGAACCAGCTTAGCTCCCATAGGTCCTTGGAACTCCAGACCAGCCGAAGCCCTGCGATAAGATCTTGAAACCTGCCGGCTTCCGGAACCTTGTTGGTTGTCCTTGGCCGCTCGTCGGCGGAACCATTTGGCGAACATCCGGTGCCTCCGTCATTTCCGTCCTCGTGGGAAAACTGGGAGGTCGGAAGCCCGGCGGGGTGGGAACCCTGGGGCAGTGGCTGTCCGGAGTCTAGGCGACGGGGCGAGACTGGGCCGGTAGGTGGCAGGAGGGGGCCGAGCCGAAGCCGGCGAGAACGCCTGGCCCGGAGGCCCCCATCCTGGCGTACCCGTCCCGGCTCAGGAGGAGGAGGAGGATGATCTCCAGATACGCTCGGAAGGCCGTGCCGCAGAGCTTGGAGCTGTGAGTGCGCTGCTCAGCCCCAGCACGGCCGGGGAGGCTGAGGCGGGCCGCGGGCGCTCTGGGGCCCTCCTGGAGCGGTATTTCGCACCTTTCCTTTCTCAGAGCTGGGGAAAGAAAGTAATTATTTGGAATTCTTTCCCTCTTTCCCAAGCAAACACTGCCCGGTCCCTCCATTTCCAGTTGAGGGCGTGTCACCCTTACTATCTATATAGTACTAAGGGTTGGCCTCTCCTTGGGTTGTACTAACTGAATTTAGGGACTGAATATTCTAAGGCATTTGTAGTTCCCGCAGTGCTTCAGGCCCCACTGTCGATAGTCATCGACAACTGGAAAAGTTATTAATAGGTGAGAGCTACAATAAAGTTGAATAAATCTAGTGCCAGACATCGTGCAAAGCTCTTTTGCATGCTTTTAGTTTATTAAATCCTGTCGGCAAGGAAATCAGATCGGAAATAATTTGCATACTCTGCAGATTAAAAAACCCCAGATTTAAAGACTGTAGCATGCAGCCTGGTATGACGGCGCATGCCTGAAATCCCAGCTACTGGGGAGACTGAGGCAGGAGGATCACAAGTTCGATCCCAGTTTGAACAATTCAACAAATTGTTGAAGCTCTGTCTCAAGAAGAAAAAAAGGGGCGGGGGGAGGCTGGGTATGTTGATCAGGGTGAAAGCCTTGGATTCAATCCAAGATTTTAATGTATCAGTGGTCAGACAGCTAGGAGGTAGTGGATCTGAGAGGTACAACCTGTGTCAGCCTTCTGAGGCTTTAGTCAAAACTATAACACTGCTTCCCCAACTCTGCAATTAAGCATCAAAACCTATAAATATCAGTTTTGCTTCTGTGCCTTTAGAAAACAAGTATTTCTGGCTTAAAGAGTTGCCTTTTATTTACCCTTTCTAAAGTTTGTAATTTAGCAAGTACTATAATGACAATTTTACATTTACTTGTTTTACACTTTCAAAAGGACTCACTTTTTGATTCTTGTAAGAACTTTATAAGAGGAGTGTGGTTATCATCGGTTTTTCAGAAGATCAAATTATATCAGAAAGGTTACATGTTTTAAGTTTATATTTTTAAAAATTATTATGTAACCAGTAGAGTCAGAACTTGGGCATGGGCTTTAAAATCCAAATCTTTTTTTCTTTCATTGAGCTAAGTAATTCTAGTAGCCATTTACTGTTTTTTTTCAGTAGCAGGGACCTTGTGCTTTCAAGATAGGCACAGCACCACTGAGCTAAATCCCTGGCCCGCCATTCACTTATTAATTAACTATACATGGTAATAGCAAGCATATTTTAAGTCACCTTGCATTCTGGCTGGATTCTTTCCTAAGCATGTAATTTGCCAATCACCAAATCTCTTTGCCTTCATTTTTGTAACATAAGAATAAGACTTTCTTACGTAAAAGCATATGTAACATGATGTCATAGGCCGTGATACAAAGTAAGTTTTGTAGTTTTATAGTCTTTTTGTAGTTTTAGTCTCATTTTGTAGTTCAGGCTGGCCCTGAACTCACTATGTAGCCCAGGCTAGCCTCAAATTTACAGCAGTCCTCCTGCCTCTGCCTCCTAAGTGCTGGATTACAGGTGTGCACCATCACACCTGGCTCACCCTAAGAGTTTTTTTTTAAATCTTGTATGGGAGCCGGGCATTGTGGCGCATGCCTGTAATCCCAGCCTCGGGAGGGTGAGGCAGGAGGATCGCTGTGAGATCAAGACCAGCCTGGACTACATAGTGAGTTCCAGGTCAGTCTCAACTACATAGTGAGACCCTGTCTCAACCCCCCGCCCAATCTTGTATGAAAGAATGTTAACAGCCATATATTAGACAGGAACTATAGACCCTGTGTAGTTATACAACTTGCTCTCAATTGTTGATTTGACATGTCCTAAAGATAATTCTCCCAAAAGATGATTCTCTAGCTGGAATCATTCATGATAAAGTGAATAATGAAGATAATGAAAATAAAATGCATATAAATGACAATTTAAAGGAATTTTTACTTTATTTATTTATTTGGTACTGTGGATCAAACTCAGGCCCTTGCGCTTGCAAGGCAGGTGGCAGAACCACTGAGCCAAATCCCTGGCCCAGGAATTTTTATTTTAAATGTTATAATTATTTGAAGCAGTAATTTTCTTCCTATCAATTACAAATTATAGGTGGTGAAGAGTTTGGAACAAGTGATTTTCAACACGTACTTTAACATTTTTAAATGAAAAACTTCAAACATAAATATATAGAGAATAATATTAAGAATCACCCATCACCTCACATTCAAGTTATCCAAGTTTTAATATATTTCCTTCATTTACCGTCTTTGTCACTTTTTAGTTTATCTTGGACATCAGGAACGCAAAACTGTATATACTATTTCATCTACATGTGTGTGCGTGTCTTTGCATCTCTAAAAATTATGGACATTTTGTTTGTAATCACAATGCCTAATAATATGTATTTGTTATCTAACTGTTACTTCATAATCAGATTTCCAGAACAGGTTAAAAAATCTTAAGTCTCTTTGCTATAACTAGAATCTGTATTTCAGGCCCCTGTACTTTCTTAAAGACAAACTTATAGTTCTAGGATCACTGAATGAAATTGAGCCCCTTCCAAGAAAAGCGTAACAGTGCAGACTCCACTGACTGGTCTTTAGCTCTATATTTATATACAGAAATGGTACAATTCTCTAAAATCTGAAACTGTTCAGTTCCTTTGAGAGGCTCAGGAGCCAAACTACTTGAATCTGAATCCCAGATCTTACTAATCATAAGAAGATTACTTAATCCCTCATACTTAAGTCTCCTTTCCTGTGAAATAAAGATATTGGAGATTTATATATTTACATATGAAAGGCCCTGGGATTTGTGCAGTTTTGTTTATCCTATCATGTCTCCTAGGCTTATTTGATAGTTGAATTTTGTTGGGAAGGAGAGTCTATGTAGATAAATGGGACTGGAAAATATAGTTGACCCCAGTTTATTCCAGTGCAGATGATCAAAAGAAAATAAAAATTCCAGAGCAGCCAGGCATGCTAATGTATGCCTGTAATCCCAGCACTCAGAAGGCTGAGGCAGGAGGATCCTGTGAGTTCAAGACCAGCCTGGTCTACATAGTGAGTTCCAGGTCATTCTCAACTACATAGTGAGACCCTGTCTCAAAAAACAAAGATAAAAACAAATAAAATTCAAGAGCAGCAGTGATAACATCTTAGATAACTTAATCTTAGGTAATATAATTCCAAATCAAGGAAATTGACATTGGTACAATACTAGTCTACACTAGACTATAGATCTTACTCAGTTTTCAACAGTTTTACATCTACTTCTAGTGTGTGTGTGTGTGTGTGTATGTGTGTGTATGTACAAATAATTATATGCAATTTGCTTCCATTTATTTGTACGTAGCTAGCACTATAATTAGAATAGACATTTATTTTTTCACCACTGAGAAACTTCCCTGTGTAGCCCGAGTGTCATATCCACTCTATCTTATCCTCTGGCAACTACTAATCTGTTCTCTGTCCCTATAGTTTTGCTGTTTGTGAATGTTATATAAATGGAATGTTTTATATATATATATAGTATATGACCTTTTGCAATTGGCTTTGGATTTTTTCAGTAAGTATGACCACCCTGAGATCCATCTAGGTAACTGCATGTATCAATAGTTCTCCCCACCCCCTACCAGGGGTCGAACCTGGGACCTTGTGTTTTTGCAAGGCAGGTGTGGTGCCACTGAGCTAAATCCCCAGCCCTCAATTGTTCATTTTTAAATTGATGAGTAATATCCTATTACCAGAGTATAATTAATTATCCACACAATGAAGAACTCAAGTTGTTTCCAGTTCTTTTTGAACTATAAGTAAAACTGCTCTAAAAATATGTATACAGTGAACATAAATTTTTATTTTTTGGATTCACATGCCCAAGAGTGAAGCTGCTAAGTCTTTTGGTATCTGCATATTTGGTTTGGTTTGGTTTGGTTTGGTACTGGGGATCGAACTCGGGACCTTGTGTTTGTGGAGCAGGCGGTGGCACCACTGAGCTAAATCCCTGGCCTTGCATGTTTTCTTTTATAAGAAATTGTGAAATGATTCCAGAGTGGCTATAATATTTGGCATTTTTCACCAACCCTTCATGAGATCCAAATTACTCTACATTTTCACCTGTATTTAGTATTATCTCTATTTTTTATTTTAGCTGTTCTAATAGTAATGTGGTAATATCTTACTGTATTTTCAATTTGCATTGACATTAGTTTTAAGATTATATTTTGTTTAACCCAGCATATATCCTAATATGTAATCAATACAATCATATTAATGAGATATTGCACATTCTTCTTGTTGTCCAAGGACTTTGAAACCCAAAGTATTATATACTTAAAACACAGTCGGTTCCAATGAATCACAGTGTAACTGCTAGTGGCTAGGGCTATCCCAGTGGACAGCACAGTTCCTGAGTGACTAACTTCTAGATCAAGTTACTAAAAAAGTATTTATCTCCTCCTTACAGGAAATATAATTTTATTTTTCACAGGAAAGGAATAACAAAACAGACTCTCAATCATCATCCTTTCCCAGAGCAACTAGATGAAACTTCCTCTGCCAGTGACAGTCATGAAAAAGACACAAGTTCCCAAAGGTAATAACTCAAAGTGTACTTGCTTGCTTATTGTATTTGCTAATGGAAAAGGTTTTGTTTTTTGGTATCAAGCCTATGCTGATGAAACAAAACAAGAATTTTTATCATCTTGGGAGGCTGAGGCAAGAGGATTGCTTAAGCCCAGGAGTTCAAAGCCAACCTGAGCAACATAGTGAGACCTCATGTCAAAAATCAATCAAGTGCTAGGGATTTAGCTCAGTGGTGCCGCCACCTGCCTGGCAAGTATAAGGACCCGAGTTCAATCCCCGGTACCCCCCCCAAAAAAAAAATAAATCAATATAGCATGAAATAGGAAGAAAGAAAATGGCTAAAGGAGGAGGGGAAGTGGGAAGAGTAGGGAAAAGGAAATAAGGGAAAAGAAAAAATAGGAAAAAATGGAAACAAAGTCTTTGTAAATAGGGAAGGGTGAAGAGGGTGACAGGAGGACAGGGGAATAGGGAAAAAAAAAAGAACCAAGATATGTCATGTAAAGGTACAAGATCCCAATGAGGACTGTAAATGTATTGTTTGACTTAAATGTATCAATAAACGTAATGGGGAAAAAATCAATTAAAAAAATCAACCAGTCAATAAATAAGTTTTCAGTAGCATTCAGTTTTCACTCTGAAACAGCTGATAGCAACATCACCCTTAATTCCTAGCCTTTGAGAAGTAGTATTATGAAGCAGTTAAGAACATGGACTCAGGAAGAGTCCTAGGACTAGTACTCCAGCACCAACACTTACTAGCTGAGTAACGTCAGGGAAGTTACTTTTATAATGTAACATTTTTTAGGCAGTTTGTGAATATAAATGAGATAAAGTTTGTATGTAATACCTGACAGAATTTTTGGCATATAATAAATGCTGAGTAAATAATACCTACAGTTATTAAGTTATTAAGTAAGAAACAGCATTGAGGAGGCTATAACTTTAAAGAGGGTTCTGAGAAGCATTATGTCACTATAAAAAATATAAAATCATAAAATTTAGTTTTAAAACGTGGAACTAAATGTCAGATTTTTTGTTTTTTAAATAGAACTCTATATCTCTAGGTGATATTAAGAATAAAATGAGGTTAGTATCTGTGAAAGTCCTTGGTAAACTGTAGAAGTACCACACAAGTTCATTTACTACTATGAACATTTCTGAAATCTCTCTCTCTCTTTTTTTTTTCCTCCCCAGTCCCGAAACTTGAATCCAGGGTCTTACACTAAGCAACATCCTCAGCTCTTTTTTGACTTTTGATTTTGAGACAGGTGCTTGCTAAGTTGCCCAGGCTGGGCTGAAACTTGTGATTCTCATGCCTCAGCCTCCCAAAGTGCTGGGATTACTGGCATGTACCATCACACCCAGATCTGAAATGTCTTTAGTTGTCAATATTATGTTATATGTGGAATATTAAAATATTCATTGTAAACTATAACTAGAATTATTTGGCGTGAATGCCATTGGTTCTATAGAAATTAGGTAAGACTTTTCTAAGTTGCTTTAATTTCAAGTTCTTCATTTATTTTTACCTCTTTGGATGTATTTGTACACCTTGCTGAGTATTTAATACTGCAAAAATCTGAGAAAATATGAGAATTTTTCTTTTTTCTCTCATCTTCCCAAATTGTGTGTTTAGTGAATCTGACGTCACCCAAGAATCACCTTTTACATCAGCTGACACTGGGAATTCAAGGTCTGCTTTTCCAAGTTATACAGGCACAGGGATCTCTACAGAAGGCAGTTCGGACTTCTCCTGGGGATATGGTGTGAGTTGTATGTTGTCATCTGATGGCATTCTTGGGAGACTGTTTTGGGAGTGAGAACTGTCTGTATGTTTCATTCCTTCATTTTCCTGCACTGGTTCTATATATTTTAAATTTACTATACTCTGTTGTAGTTGTAAAGATGCATCAATCCTCACCTCCTGCCATTATTTGCTTTGTTCTATAGAGAATCATCGAGCCTTAAAAATGCTTATTGCGAGACTTACACAGCTGTGGGTAGGATGGATCTGAGCTCTGGATCTCCTCTGCTGTGCTCGGTATAACTAGTGATCCTGAGCACCACTTGTGAAATGAAAAAAGAGAGATTAAAAGTAGTATACATAGTATAGTTCTAATTTTGTTTTTATATATATAGTTTTTGCATATATAGTCTGCCAAAAAGTGTATATGTCAGGTTTAAAAAGCTTATATAAATATTTTAGTACTAAATTTATTGCGACGTTGTGAGATCGGTACAAGTTACTTTTAGCCTGTACAATTACAAGAAATGTTCATTGTGGTGGCCATTAGTTTCCAGATATTTATTAGTACAGCAAACTGCTGATGTGTGCATACATTTTTTTGGCAGACTTTATATATGAACAAAGCAAGACTGAAGATATTTGCTCCATATGTTATCCATTTGTTATTATTTAGCTGATGAGATGAGTGATTTTTACTTACTTTTTTCGTTATCTCCCATTATGGAACATTTAAAAAGACTAGTAACCTTAAAGGTAAATTTAAGAGATAAGTTTTATGCATAATTTTATCACCTTGATACAATAGGTATTTTTAATTTCTTTTATCTTCTTTCAGTCGATACTTAATTTGGCCAAGTTATAAATCTGGTTTACATAAGAGTATTATACTCTATTTTTTTACTTAATACTACTATGTGCATACTATTTTGTGGTTTTCTTGTTTCACTTAACATTATTTTGTAGATGTTTACTACCTCCATATCAGTCTGTCTGAATAGTGGTGTAATATTTCCTGGGGTTAATCTAGGGTTAATATATCACATTTGGAGTTTTCCCTTATTATATGATATTTGGGTTTTCAGTATTCATTTACTCAGGAAACATTTATTGAGTGCATTTGTTGTCACTGTAGTTGGCCCTGGGGAGATAGGGTGAGTGAGACTTACATGGTTTAATAGTCTAGTGAGGGAGACTGACAAAAGCTAGTAAAATACAAAAGGTAGTAAGTGCTCTAGGGAAGATGATAGGATGCTGGAGTAAAACATTGTAGGGGAGTTCACTTTAGGTAAACTTATCAGGTAGGGTAGATCTGAGACTTAAAGATTGAAAAGTTAACCATATGAAGAGTGACAAAGAGAGCTTTCCACACAGAGAGCAGCAACATATGCAAAAGAGGTTCATATTTCTAAGGGAAGTGTATACAGTGTTCTCAAAACTGAAAAAAAGATCAGCGTGGGTGGAGGATGGCGAACCAGGGATAGAAAAGCACACAGTAAGCAAGAAATTATGTAGGGACTTGCAGGCCATGGTAAATAATTTAAATTTTATCTAAGGAATTAATTTATTAATTTGATGCCTCATCAAGAAGATTTAGTATGCCAACTATATATCCATCACTTCTGTATATTGTGATTAGTATCTCTTTTTAAATTTACAAATGTCATATAAATGTTTCCCATTTCCTTGCTTTCTTTCCAGTTTTTATTGTGTAATGGACTTCTAAAAATATTCAGATCCAATTATCTCTTCAGTAGTCAGGATTTCCTCTTAAGAAAAGTGGAATATTATAATGTTCTTCATAGCTTTTTTTTTTCCTGGTACCAGGGATCAAACTCGGGATCCTGCACTTGTAAGGCAGGCATAGTGCCACTGAGCTAAATCCCTGGCCCTTTCATAGCTCCCCGCCCCCGACCCCCAGTTCTTAGGACTGAGCCCAGGGGCGTTCTAGCTCTACCACTGAGCTATATCCCTAGCTCTTTTTTTTTTTTGCTTTGTTTTACTTTGTTTTTCTTTTGTTTTTATTTTGAGACAGGGTCTTGTTGCCCAGGCTGGCTTTGAACTTGTAATCCTCCTGCCTCCGCTTCCTGAGTAGCTGAGGATTATAGGTAGAAACCACTGGCTTCCTCATAGCTTCTTTCCTCTGCCCTACCTGGGGCAGAGGATCTAACCCAGGCCCTTGTGTGTGCTAAGTGAGTGTCTGCCATTGAGCTAAGCCACCAACCTGGACTGTTTTGTAATAGATGAAGTCAGGTATTAATTAAGTTTTGATATGACCAAACCTATTTTGTTTTAAACATTTTTCTATATTTGATTTAATTTCATCATTTTTTGGTTAGTTTTTATTTTTTCTCTCATTGAGTTTATCAGTACATTTTAGGTATACAGTATAGTTACATTCATCATTGGGATCTTGTACCTTTACATAACAGGTCTTGGTTCTCATTTTTTCCCCTTGTCCCTTCCTCCCTTCACCCTCCCTTCCCTATTTACAAATTGTTGGTTTATTTTTTGAAACAGGGTCTCACTATTTAGTTCATTAGCCCAGACTAGCCTTGAACTTACAGCAATGCCTCTGACCCAGCCTCCCTGGTGCTGGGAATATAGGTATGCACTGCCATACCTGGAATTATCATGATATTTTAAAAAATCAGAGCAGGGCTGGGGATTTAGCTCAGTAGCACTGTGCCCGCCTCATGAGTGCAAGGTCCTGAGTTCAGTCCCTGGTATGAAAGGAAAAAAAAAATTGAACTGACTGTGGTGGTATATAACTACAGTACAAGCCAAGCAGGAAGCTGAGGCAGGAGGCTCTACTTGAGCTCATGAGTTCAAGACCAGTCTGACAACAAAGTAAGACCCTGTCTCAAAAAAAAAAAAAAAAAAAAATTGGGGCTGGGGATTTAGCTCAGTGACTCCCAAGCACAGGTCCTGAGTTTGATACCCAGTACCCCCCCACCAAAAAAAGTGTTACTTTGATTCCCAAACCAGGGAAAGACCCAACTAAAAAAGAGAACTACAGGCCAATCTCCTTAATGAATATAGATGCAAAAACCCTTAATAAGATACTAGCAAACAGAATAGAGAGGATCATCAAGAAGATCATACATCCTGACCAAGTCGGATTTATTCCAGGGATGCAAGGATGGTTCAACATACGCAAATCAATAAATGTAATATACTATATTAACAGAGTCAAGGACAAAAACCATATGATCATCTCAATAGATGCAGAAAAAGCATTTGACAAAATTCAACACCCATTCATGATAAAAACCCTGCAGAAAATTGGAGTAGGTGGTCTTTATCTCAACCTGATAAAGGCTATCTACGAAAAACGAACAACCAACATCATACTAAATGGCCAAAAGTTAAAACCTTCATGCTAAAATCAGGAACAAGACAAGGATGCCCACTATCACCACTCCTATTCAATAGAGTTCTGGAAACATTAGCCACAGTAATTAGACAAGAGAAAGAAATTAAAGCAATGAAGATAGGAAAGGAAGAAGTTAAACTGTCATTATTTGCTGATGATATGATACTCTACATTGAAGACCCAAAAAATTCCACCAAAAGTCTTCTAGACTTAATTGCCACTTTTAGCAGTGTAGCTGGATACAAGGTCAACACTCAAAAATCAATGGCCTTTTTGTACAGAAATAACAGATTCACTGAGAGAGAAATTAGGGAAACAATTCCTTTCACAATAGCATCCAAAAAAATGAAGTATCTAGGAATCAATGTAATGAAAGAAGCAAAGACCTCTACACTGAAAACTATAGCACTCTGAAAAAAGAGATCAAAGAGGTTATAATAAAATGGAAAGATATCCCCTGCTCCTTGGTAGGAAGAATGAATCAACATAGTGAAAATGGCCATACTGCCAAAACTGCTATACAGATTCAATGCAATGTCAATTGAAATTACAACAGTATATTTCACAAAACTAGAAAAAATAATCCAAAAATTCATTTGGAACCAAAAGAGACCTAGAATAGCAAAAGCCATCCTAGGCAACAGAGGCATGGCAGCCAGTATAACAATTCCCAATCTGAAACTGTACTACAAAGCCACTGTGATAAAAACAGCATGGTACTGACAAAGAAACAGACCTGAGGATCAGTGAAATAGATTGGAAGATACAGAAATAACTCCAGATGTACTCAGCTACCTCATCTTTGGCAAACCGTCCTCACTGGAGGAAAGACAGCCTCTTTAATAAATGGTGTTGGAAAAACTACATTTCAACCTGCCAAAGATTAAAACTAGACCCTTATCTTTCACCGTGCACTAAAGTCCAAGTGGATTAAAGATAGAGTCACTAAATTTGCTGGAAGATAAGCTAGGCAGAACTCTCGAAGACATTGGCATAGGAAAAGATTTTATGAACCAATCCTCAGTAGCACAGGAACTAGCAGAAAGAATCAACAACTGGGATCTCATCTTTTTAAAAAGCTTCTGCATTGCAGAAGAAACCATCAACAGAACTAAAAGACAACCTACAATGTGGGAAAAGAATTTTACCAGCTGCTCCTCAGACAAAGGACTATTATCTACAATATATAAAGAACTCAAAATCAGCCCCCCCATATATAAAGACCCAATTCAAAAATGGGCATATGAAATGAACAGATATTTCTCAGATGAAGTAAAAGCAGCAAGTAAATATATGAAAAAATATTCCACATTGCTGGTCATTCGAGAGATGCAGATGAAAACAACACTGAGATTCCACCTCACCCCACAAAGAATGGCTGCTATCAAGAAATCAACCAATAACAAATGTTGGTGGGGTTGTGGGGAGAAAGGAACCCTTTTCCATTGTTTGTGGGAGTACAGACTGGTGCAACCACTATGGGAATCAATATGGAGATACCTCAAAGCTGGGACTAGATGTTCCATCTGACCCAGCCATCCCTCTGCTAGGTATCTTTCCAAAAGAATTAAAAGAATCATATCACAGTGATACATGTGCACCTATGTTTATAGCAGCACAGTTTGTAATAGCTAAAAACCATTTGA